TGTGCTGCCAAGAGGGTCAGCCCCTAACCTATAACCATAATGCTGGTTTTGTCTCCCCAGGTGCAGCACCCTGCACTTGTCCTGTTCAGATCCACCCACTTCTCCAACCTATCCAGGTCTGCCTGGATGCGGTCCCTGCCTGCCAGTGTATTCGCTTTACCCCACAGCTTGGTGTCATCAGCGAACTTGGACAGGGTGCTCTGCACACCCTCGTCCAGTTCGCTATTGAAGATATTGAACAGCACTGGCCCAAGGGCTGAGCCCTGGGGGACTCCGCTGCCCACACCCTCCCAGGTCAACATCAACTTGTCCACCACCACCCTCTGGGTGCGCCCCTGGAGCCAGTTTGCCACCCATGTGACTATGCATTCGTCAGTGCTGCAGTCCCTCAGCTTGTCCACCAGAATTGGGTGGGACAGTGTGTCGAAGGCCTTCTGGAAGTCCAAGGAGATGACATCGACTTCCTCCTTCACATCTAAGCTCTTTGTTACCTGGTCATAGAAAGAGACCAGGTTAGTCCGGCAGGATCAGCCTGGCATGAACCCATGTTGGTTACCCCTCAACATCACTTAACTGTTTTCTATTACAGTTTTCAGTGTAGACATATCAGGTGTATACATGTCCTGAAAAAATCAAAGTTGAGCCCCTGTTCATCACCTTATGATGAAAGAATAGGAAATGGCAAGATTCCCATGTCCCATGGGAACCGTGTCATTGCCCACTACTTGGAGATGACTGTTTGCAGAGCATTTAGGAAGTTCTGATCCAGTTGTGGATTTGAACTTTGTAATTTGAACATCTTTCAAATGCAGATATAGCCAGAGTTTCTAATCCAGATTTGGCTCCTATCCTGTATCCATTTTTTTTTTACATATGTGTCTCTTTTATGCTATCTCCTGACAGGAGAGGCAGAATTTTTATCTGTTCTGGATATACTAAATATATCCTGTTTAAGCATAGTGCAAACTTTTGGTGCAAAAAATATTTGTGTGTGTTGGGTGTTGGTGGGGACTGGGGTTAACTAAAATACATCAAGCTTATTAAGTCATTTTTTTAATTGTAAAGGTTTTGTGCTTCTGATTTCATTGGCAACAAGATATTATATAGTCACGTATATGAGAAAAGGAGATTGACCCTCCAGAGAAGGACTGGAGTATGGGGCATAGAAGAATCTATGCACAGGAGCTCATCTGCTCATAAAAAATCTCTATAGAACCAATTGCATTGTGGAACCCAGAATGTTGTAACACTGCAAAAAGACTTAGGAGTTGTAACATCAGGAAACTGTGATGTTGATTTTTTGTGTATCCTGCAAGTGATCTGAAGATTTATACATGATTGCCCCAGTAATAATGGGATGATCTCAGACCATCTGGCAACCCAAATGCAAGGTCTTCAGGGATCATTTCTTACTGAGATGCACATCTAAGTCTCACTAAACAGATCTACACAGAGAATCACCCAGAAGCTATTTTGCAGCTTGGAAGAGGTGAATTCCACAGATAGAAACTATCCATTATCTGTAGCAGAAAACAAAGTCATATACCACAAATTTTAAGTCAAAATACTTATTAAACAAGGGACCTTAATGATATTATTTCAGTTGACAGAACAACCTCAAAGATTGCTGCATACTGTGTATATTGGGCATAAGTTATTAAACGTGTATCAACCTGGTTGATTGTTATTTAGAGCCATTTGATAGTAATCCAGAGTCCATTGGGGCATCTAATAATCTGTGAATAAACCATACCTTTCAACACCGTTTAATTTCCATTTATGTTTCCTGGACATCAGCAGCCCACCACCCCATGCTGCCTGAAAAACAAGATACATTATCTTAAAAATCAGGTAACTTTGCATTGCTGACACACATATATTCAGGTCACTTTGATGTCTGCTCCTTTTCTTTCCAAAGTGGGCTGCATGCAGCTAAATCACAGCTCTGATGGAGCTCTGCGGTCTGTGGGTGGAAACATAATCCATACTAGCACAGTTCTTCTTTTTCTGCTGTTTTCTTCTGGTAGCCTGTGGCTGGAATTATGTAGGTCAAGGTCCATGGACCAGCTAGCATCACCCTCCTGCCCAGCTAATTTCTCTCTCACTAGCACATGGCAGTGCTACACTGGGCCTGCCCTAAGCAGTGGTAGGGAGACAAGTAGGGAAAAAAGATTCACTGAAAGGTCAACTGACCTTTACACTTTCGTGACTGGGAGGAGAATGGCACTGGTGATAGAACGGGATGGGACACAAAACACAGCTGTTTGCCCTGCCTCCCCTCTTGCAGAACTCTGAGAGTTGATCTCCCGGCATGTGCAGGGGAATAAGCCACTGCAAGGACCCCAGTAAGGTAAGCATGTCATTTGGCAAATACCTTCAGCATATGCCCCAGTTACTGGGGCCATTTTGGGGGAAATTATAGTATTATTTGTCTGCAAATTTAGAAAAAAATAATGTCCTTTTGCTCAACTGTCTATTTTGCAGCCTTCCTTCCTTTTCATGCCCTTGTGACAAGGTAGTTTGTAGAATTTCCAGCTGGCATAGCTGCACCACAAGTGCTTCTGCTACAGCCTCAAACTTGCAACCTTTCGGCTGTCAACCTTAGAGCCCACAACACTAGGGTTACCATATGTCTGGGTTTTCATGGACGTGTCCTCTTTTTGGGTCCTCCCATCTCTGTTTGTGTGTTTTTTTTAAATATCAACAAATGTCTGGGGTTTTGCTTTGCTCAGCATCAAAGTTTTTCCTGGCACTTCCTAGCTTGTCCTAGCAAGGAGTTGCTTGGGGCTGGGGGGAGTAGGGGGAGGGCAACTGGAGGCAGGGTCATCACATGCAATTGTGTATGCACATGCACGTGGCCAGCATGCAGCCAGGCAGAGTGGTGGGAGCAGCCCCGGCAGCTGGATGCAGATAAGTCTATGGGAGGTGGGGGTTTGAGGGCCAGGGCTTGGGACTGTGCGTGTGTGCATCCATCACATGCATGTGCGGGTGCATGTGCATGTGCGTGTGTGCATGTGAGTGTGTGTGTGGAGGGGATGGGTGTGTGAGTGGGGCAGGTGCCTGGTGGCATTGGGGGTAGTTGTCTTGGGCTGTAGTGGGGCAGTGGAGGTGGGGGAAGTGCCTAACCCTCCAGCACGGGAGGGGAGAGGAAACTCTAGGGGCAGCAGGAAGCTGTGTGGCTGGGCTGGTGGTGCTGGTGCCTGTGCTCACAGGGGTGGGGCAGCCAGGAGACACTGCAGGGCTGGGGAGAGCAGGGTGCTGCAGGTCGGTAGTTAGGGACACTGGCAGGGCAGGTGGGGGTGGGCTGTGGCTTGGGAGTGAGGGGCACCAGGAGGGGTGGAAGACTGTGGGCCAGGAGTGCGGGGCACAGACAATGCCGGGAGGCTGCAGGTCAGGAGTAAGGGGCATCAGCAAGGACAAGGGGGCTGCAGGTTGGGAGTGAGGGGCACAAGCATGGTTTGGGGGGTGGAGTACTATGGGTTGGGAGTGAGGGGCAGCAGCAGGACTGAGGGGTGCTGTGGTTTGGGAGTGAGGGGCAGGGACAGGACACGGGCATATCACTGCCCTCCCACAATCATGTTACCCCTTTCCCCCTCCCCAGCAGGTGTCCTCTTTTTTGAAACTGGAAATATGGTAATCCTACACACCACCCCAGCCCCCATTTTGCAGGAAATGGGCCTGAAAATAGGTTGTTTTTTAAAATTAGTTATGTCTAGAAATAAGGCATAGATTTTCAAACAAGGGTTTCAAACATCAGTCGTGTAAGTTCATGTTCAGCCAATTAAAATCAAATGCCTTTATTTTTAAATGGTTTTACATGCCCAGTCTGTTCCAGAAGCCCAGGCTTTCTCCAAATCAGTGGAGTGGAGAATTGATCCCTAGGTGTAGTTTTCATTACAGGAACCAGGTATGTTGTTATCTGTACAAAATGACACTATATGTGCATGAGTGAATGCATGTTAACATGGGATGTGACCTGAGACTAATACAGTACTTACATCCACATGCATCCAGATTTTGTATTTCTTGCAGATATCTGCAATAGCAATGAGGGGATCAAATGCACCATACACTGTTGTTCCTGCTGTGGCACTCACTAAGAAAGGAACAAATCCCTACACAAAGGAGAGAGACATTTTTAAAAGAGAGAATATTCACTGACAAGCAAAACGCACCTCCACTTGCAATAGTTTGATTTCCTCCCAAGTAGCCAGAGTGTAGTAGTACAATAAAGTAAGTAATTAAAAAAATAAGCTTAATTCCAGTAGCTGCTGTGTTACTGTATCTATATTCCTATGAAAAAATGAGATGCCATTTGGAAATAAGGAACTCGCATGCTATTTTTTTGGCTTTTCTTATTTGATATAGTAGTGATGTTACAATTTCTGTCTTAAGGTGGCAGCAAATTTCCAAGGTCAGTATTGAGGGTATCCATTGGGAAGATAAGCTGTAGAATGAACAACCCACCTCCTGCCTCTGTCAGAAACAAAAAATGTGTATTCTGTGTTATGCCATGTAAAATTACCTCTATCATAGAGCTTCATTGTACAACAAATATCTCTGGCAAATTTGGAATTAACCTGTTGGTATATTATGATTCTTTCAATTTCTTTAGCATTCAGAAAGTGCTAGATTATGTACATCAGGTAACAAGACGCTGGCCCTGCCCCAGGGAGTTTACATTTTAAGGCTCTGATCCTGCAGTCTTGTGCTTGAGTGTAACTTTTAATACATGAATAGTTTCACTGAAATCAACAGACATAGTGAGTCAAATTAATTGTGTATTGGGATAAGGACAGAAATTATACATAAATTATACATAAAGTTTAAGTAATCAGAAACTGGTTTAAACCTTTAAAGAACATAAGTTCAGTGCACATAAACCAGTTTCGAAATGGTTGAAACTAGTTTAAGATAAACCTGCTTGAATGTAGTATCAGACTTAACTGATTTGGGTCAAACTGGTTTATGAAACTTCTTTGCCAGACTGCTTCCTGGTTCAAGTTAAATCACAGTCCCCCAGCATGCTTTCCAGCCCTGGGCTGGGCTGGGCTGTCTGCTCCAGCAGAGAAAAGTATGTGTGTGTGTGTGTGGTGGGAGGGGGGTAGGGACTACCCAGTGCTTTGCCTGCCCCCCACGGCCCGTTGCCTAAGCTGAGAGTGCTTGCTCTCAAGGGGGGCACCAGTGCTCTCAGGTGGTGCACCTACACCCCTGTGCACCCCGTACGTGTTGCCTATGAGAGGAAGCAAACACACAGCCCATGATGGCTATGTGCAAGAAAGGCGTGCTCTAGCACCCCCCAGCTTCTGGCCTGAGCCACTGCAGGCATGTGGCTACATTTCCTGAATCAAAAGTAAATGTGTATCCAGTTGTTTCTCAGTTTAATCTCTGCAGTTTAAAGTAACATTCAGAGACTGAATTGATTCAGCCTCGGGGTTTTAGACTGTCTGTACTTAGCCGTGGAGTCTAAAGTGTATATGAAAATTTCATACAGGAGCTGTATATATGTTTTAACATTTAGAACAACATAAGAAAGAGTGACTGATCTTTCTTAAAAGTTCTGAACTACCTGCTGCAAAATGGGACATATTTGTTTTTTGTTTGTTTTTAACTACATTGACCTTAACGCATTTTCATATGTGAAGAAGCTCAAACTCCATGTACTGTTTCTGAAGGCACATGCTAATGCACTTACTTTTTGTTTAGCTTCAAGAATTCTTCTTTCAAGGTCTGATGGGATCATTTTCCCCCTGCAGCAAAGGATAATATATTAGGGCTTTGCTTTTGAAAACAGCCTTTTCTATTGCTTTCCCCCTTAAGTAACAATCCCAGGTAAGGATGAAATTAATACCACTGCACAAGGCCTATACCCCATTTACGCCCTTAAATTAAGACCTCATCTGGTGTATAGTCCTTGCACTGGTCTTAGCACAGGGCTGATTGTCAACCTGTGGATTGTCACCTAGTTTGCACCAATGTACTGTTGATCATGTTTGAGTCACCCTAAAGCAGAGAGGGCATGGCATGGCCCTTCACACAAGCTCCACTTAAAGTACGTGCCCAATGAGCCTCAGGTTCAGATGGATTGTAACCATAGAGAATATGCTGGATGTTCTCAGGAGAGTTCTGAATTCAGGGAAAATTCTGAATTTACTGAATTCAGTAACCCAATATTGTTCTCAACTGCAGGCCTTTGAAAGGTGAAGCCCGTGATTCTACCTTCCAAGGGCCAACTCACAGGATCCCCAATTCAGCTGCAGTGGCCTCAAGCAATGGGACTGGCTGGAAGCTCATAAATGAAGTGGACAGTAGCAGGAAGGTATCTCCCCTCTATGAAGTAAAGGTGTGACCACATCACATTTCCACATCCACAGGAAAGCACTGGCTTTCATTTGCACTTGAATAAAATAAATTCATCCTTAGTGTAATACTAATGAAATCAAAGGAGCTACAACAGGGAAAACTACTCCATAGCTTCATGTGGTCAACTAATATTAGCTTTGAAACAGGCAGGAAAATAAACTGTTGGTCCAGGCTAAGATTGTGTACATATTCAAGCCCTTCACGCGGAGAGTATATTGTATTTGAAATGGATTTAGTATGAGCCATTCACCTGAGATACAACCTCTGTCATATAAGCCCCCCAGGCTAATTTGGGAAATCTTGTAAATTCATTAGGTTTGTGATGAAAACACTGCTAATATTTACATATTGAAATGTGGGGCTTTGATTGTTTCAGCTGAGAGTAAGACTATCCAAGAAGAAAGAAAATGTATAACAAGATTAGCATCATGATGGTTCCTTGTAGATTTTTTGCAAGGTTTTTTTAAATTAATTTTGACTAACCAGGTGTATTTATAGAGACCAAATCTTAAAGGACCTTTTCTTAGTACAGCTGGTCATTTGTTTTACTGAAAAAGTGGGTTTTTGTTAAAAAGGAATATTTTCATGAAAGAACTGAAAACCAAAAACTTGAAATGCTTTCCCAAAAAGGTAACAGAATACCAAAATGTGTAAGTTTTTTCATGTTTTTCTCTGAAAAAAATCTTCATGTGAACTTTTGATGGAGATGGAAAAAAATGAAAATTTATAGTGAAAAAAACTGCATTTCTTATGAGCTCTGTGGCAGAAGACCACCTCTGTCTCTTCCCAAAAACTCTGCTGTGTGACAATTTGGTTCATATGGGCCCTGCAGAGGGCAGACATCCCATCTCTTTAGGTAACCTGGGTTGGATACATTCCTGAAGGAGGGGGAAAACCTGCTCCCTCTGCCTATGTGACTGGCATCACTTACCTGGGTGAGGGGCTTACGCCCCCTATTGTTCTAAGCACTGCCAACCTGACTGGGAGGGGGATAGAGACTGTACCAGTCTGCCCAGCAACCAGCGATGAATTTCTTTATTGGTTGGCTTGCATCCAACAGGTGCTGGCCTCCATTGGAACAGGTATAAGAGGTCATAAAGTCTATATAAGTTAAGGACTTCTCAAGAGGAAGGGCACTAGTCATGATGAAAACTCAGAGAGAGAAGAGCTGGACCATCTGAAACTTGCTCTCTTTTTTGAAACTCATGATCAATGAACTCCCTGCCTCCAGAGGGAATCTCCACCAGCTTCTGGATGATACTTGTGAGTAAGCTACCTGAGATCTAACTAGATATACAGCTTGCAGTACTCAGGTGCGTGATCAAAGGCTACCCAGCGACCCTGCTTGCTCTATGGGCTTTCTCTGATATTGCTGTACCCTGTACCCTATTCCAAACCTACTCCTTGTAAAGTTCTCCTTTGTACCTAGCATGGGAGACTTATTGGGAGTGGGTCTAGATTATGCCTTGGGGTCTCTTTGGTTCGGTGGATTAAGGGAAACCACTATTTGTGCTTCAGACTGGGGGAAGCACCCCAAGTTCTTGAAGTGGGTTGAGTAACCTCAAGGACTACTAGGCTTGTGTTTCCCAGGGGGCATAGTGGCCAGATCCTGGGTGGTGGAGGCACTACCCCCAGGCTAGTGGGTGTGCTCCAGGAAGGGGGTCGGCCAGATGTGAGGCCCCCTGGGGAGGCACTCGGAGCCCAGAAGGTGGTCGGGTGCAGTGAGGTGGGTGGCTCAGTGCAGGAGCACCCCCTACTGGCCTACCACAAGCTCTAGTTTTTAAGCATGTAGAACTTCCAACACAGTCACGAACTTTATCAAAGAAAAGGATTTTGGTAAAGATGGGCCTGGACAGCCTAACTTTTGTAAAAACCCAGTCACAGTATTTTGCTTTTCCCGTTGAAAGAATAATATCAACAATCATTTTGTTTTTAGATTCCAGGGGGAAAATTTCTATTGACTTGAACTTTCCCCTGCTTATGTGTTAAGTAGTCTGAACATTTTTTCTTTTTCTTTTAGAAGTGTTTCTGGGAACATAAAAGGAATATAATAAAAACATGTAAAACCAAGGCTGAGTATTCTTGCTCTATATATGGTATAGAAACCTGCTGCATAACAGGCTTAAGCACTGCTAGAATAGATCCAGTCACATGCAGCTAGTTAGACCTGAGCATTGCCAAAATTCATGTGGAAGCAAGTAATTAGCCAGCTCGAGCAATAACACAATGTACACAGGAGTGTTCAGTAAACAAAGCTGCAAGCATTTTCAAAATTTACACAGGAGCAAGTAGTAAGTTGGTCCCCCATATGGCCATAATACTCATTGGAGCAGGTAGAAAAAATCTTCAATAAAGCCAAAATATAGTAGGAACAAATCAACCTATCACATTACAAACAGATATATAGTATGCCTTTAAACGTAAGATTCGCCTTCAAAACCAAATCCTTCTTCTAAAAATGGACTGTCTTAGAGTAAAAAAAGTAAAAAGTTATTGTTATTATATGTACCACAGAGGTTGTATCCTTTTAAATTTGTCCCTATTTGCTTGGGTTTTTTTAAATTAAGTTGCAAGTCAGAATATTTGGGTAGCTTAAATTCAAGGGCATCATATTCAAGGAATATGGGCATGGAGAAGGGCATGGAGTTATCCAGGCACTACCATTGTCAATATACCTGCATGGTAAGTAAACACAGGGTTAAAAGATTGGTAAACTAGTCCTACCTTTGACAGAACTGCATTTTTGCTTTGTTTAGGCTAGTTGCCTGCATGCTCTTATGGCTAAAATGCTTATGAAAATACCCTGCAGACCAGCCCCAGTGCAACAAAGATACAGGCAAATTCTAGGAGATGTAGCTGAGAATAAGAACTGACTGTCAGTGGTGAACCATGGGTCTCTGGTGCCCGGGGGCCAATGCTTGCATTTGTGCCCCCTCCAAAGATGAGCCGAGCAGGGTGCAGGGCCCGAGGCAAATCAACCTGTGCAGGGCCCCACATCCCGCCCCATGGCACTTCCATGGGGGAATTAGCAGTGCGGCACACTGGCCATAGGGGGAGGAGTGGCGGCTGGAATTTCTGGCTGGAATGGCCAAAGAAAGCCAAAAGCCGCAAACCACAACCCACCGGGCGGGCAGACAGGTGGGCCACACACAAAACGTGGGAGGCGTCATGGCCTCTCCAGCTGGCATCCACGCCCTGGCCAGTGCCCTGGGCCATGGCCCGCTACCACCCCCTCCTGCCCCCGTCAGTATGCTACTATCTGCTGTCCCGGATTAGACAGGTGTTCAAAAGCTCAGATGGTCTCCTAGCCTCACTTTAGTCCAAGCCCTGCCTTCACAAGAAATCTTCTCCCCTGCATCACTTCTAAGCTCCAGTCTAGCATTGTGCTCTGTAAGTTGCCTATTGGCCTGGAAATTGATGAGACATGCAGTAACTGCTCTTTTCTTTAGGAAGAACAATTTAGAAGTAGTGTGATCTCTGAAGAAGATATTACATTTATTTTGCACAGAATGAATGCAAAGAGGACCAGTTACATGAATTTGGTTCTTAGCAAACAGAAAAAGCAAAGGGTTTATTATAAGGCCTAGTGTGTCAGTTGTCCATGTGGTCATTAATTCCTTTGGAAAGAGTGCTCAATCTTTTGTGAAGAGGGAGATAGTAAGTCTATAAATCAATATACAGGGTCTTCTGTGATTACTACTCTAAATTGCTCAGGTAGTTTTATTCTTTTTATGATAGAAATAGAACATTGAGACTGTAGTTAAGTGTTTCACTTAATCTGGAGCCATAAATGATTCAGCACATTATAACAATAGTATTCAATGGGTCATAAAAAGAGTATTTTTACTAAAAGATTATTAATACAACTGGCTGGAAATTTTGCATCAATTTTCTTTTTCAACAGAAAATGCACTTTCTCTCAAACAAAATTTCCACAAGAAAATGCTGGTTTTGCCACATCTTTTCTATTTTGTCTTAGGAACATACATGGATTTAACTGGATGAAAACATTTAATTTCAGGCAGTTCAACATGAATGAATATTCAAGTTTTTGTAGGTACCTCATGCCCTCATTCCTGTCCTGTTGGCTGAACTGTCTGGTGGCTGTTCATGATCTATAGTGTACTACAATCTATCCTCTGGCTTTACTGTCAGAGGATATCTTGGGATTCTCATGAACATAGTATAGCACATGAACTAGGGTTCAGTCAAACTACCTAGCGCATAGAGGAGAGCGAGGACAGGAGGCATACAAACTGCAACTCCCAGGAGTCACTGGTGGCTGTAATTCAACATTGAACTGCATTGAAATGCAGTATTTCAGCTTAATTTGACAACCCCAAATTAAACATTTCAATGCAAGAATAATTAAATGTTATTTGATCCAAACACAGCATGTCAATACTTCTGAATCAAAATTTCAAGGAACTCTTTTGGTGTTAAAATAATTGACAGGTTGATTTTTTGTTTTAGTTCAGGATGATGACAAACTCCAAAATCTCAGAACTTTCAGTATGATAGAGATTATGATTTTCAACCAGTTCTAATTATGAGCTGCTATACAAGCTGTTTCAAAGGCCCTAGTTCCTCATCTCTGTAAGTCAACCTTATCATTATAAATCAAGCAAACCAGTCTGATTACACCAAGTGATAATAAGGGCCTAAATGTTTTGTATAGCATTTAAAAGTGAGCATGTTTGGAATCTATGCTTACCTTTCATCACATCTAATCAGAACGACACTATCTGTACCAATTCCCAAAGCTGCGGCTCCTTTTTTCACAGAAAAGTGACTCTGAAAAATCATATGGTATTCTGTGTTATTTCTATTATTATTCCTTCTGCAACTCAACGCAAAAAAACCCAAAACAACAAAAATCTTTAGTTTTCCAGTGTTCTCGAGAAACAAATCTAGATAGACAATCATTCTATTCATGTAGTTTGTCTAGGACAGAGGCGGGCAACTATTTTGGGCAGGGGGCTGCTTACTGAGTTTCGGCAAGCCATCAAGGGCCACATGACAGGAAGCCCAGGGGAGATAAATGTTAATTTTCTAAAATTTTTAGGGGCTTCACAGGCCAGATAGAATGGCCTGGCAGGCCGCATCTGGCCCCACGCCACATTTTGCCCACCCCAGTTGAGAAACTCAGCTCTTTAATTTGAAGCTTCAGACTAGGACACTGGAATCATTTGAAGCAATAGTAATAACTTTAATCTGATTTTATTCAGGAAACGCCTGTGTGCATCTATCACTGAATTTGACTCTCTGTAACTGGCTCTTATTGGCACAGTGGTAGAGCAGTTAAAGTAATTTTATTAAGGTTCCAGAGATGAGATGTCAAGCCCCACTTTGACCCTATGCAAAGGCTACCCCAACCACCCAGCTGTAAATGAATATTTGGGTACTCATGCTGGGGACCCAAAAGCATGTCATGTGATTCCAGCCACAGTCCTCCCCGGTGTGCTGTTGCCTACAGAAATTGACCTGCTTTAACTCTGTAGCCCTTTGGCCCTCATCTCAGAAGAACCCTTAACTTTTTTACTTACTGCCTTAGCTTACTGGAAAATCGATTAATTTTACATGTGGCATCCCAAGTGAAGTACATCTGCTATGTGACCAATAGCCAGATAATGTCATAATGCCATTCACTTTTCATAGGCAACCAGCTGAGGACACATAAAGACAGTAAGCCTGATTTTGATCTCAGGTCAGTGAAAATTAAGAGTAATTCCACTGAAGTAAATGGAGTTATACCAACCTCATATCAGAATCAGGGCTAATATAAATGCACAGGATAAAAGTGGGGTTATATAGTGGGGAAAATAGCTTAATCTAATTATTCTGTTAGGAACTGGCTCCTAAATAAGCGGTGGTTTATAATTAAATTTAAATTCCAGTTGTTATAATATTGTATAAGTGTATAATAATGTATCAAACTGTACTGCTGAGAAGTGTTTTTTGATTAACCTGACTTTAACTGTAATGTATCTGTCCTAAGTCCTATAACTTAACTACAGATCATTAAATTGTCCAAAAAGGAATATGTGCAACTTTTGTAGTTGAAACAATTATAATACTCATGATTAAAATGATAAGATACAAATCTGAAGCATGTTTGCCATTCACTGAAAAGCAGGTTGGGTTGGCAATCAGAAAACTGTTTGAGTGGTGGGATAGTTAATCCTTTTATCCCATCTCAATCTACTCTCACTGCTGTGTTATTAGATTAAAAACAGTTGTTAGATTTCTCTTGGGACAAAGCCTGTTAACCTGGGACCACACAGACATACAAGCACATTGCCCCACCTCAGGTACCTTGGAAGCATCCAAAGGTAAAAACAAATGTAGAGTTTGAGTAGATCCTGACTGATCTGAGTCAAAACCTGGGAGCAGAATAGCCCTTTAGGCTAAAAACAGATGGCAGGTTTAATCTGGTGCTGTAGACTTGCATTAAAACAGGTTCCAGGTCAGACATTTACACACACAGTTTGTGTAGTTTGAAAGCAAATTAACTCGAATTAGCCATGATTGTTCCAAGTCTTAATTTAACAGTTCACAGGTATTTAATGTGGGACAGTGTTTGTACATCTGTAGGATCCCAGGATAAAATGTTTTTTGCTGGGGGAGGGGGGGAAATCAACATTTTTTTTACCCCAGATAACTCTTTCTCCAGGACCACTGTGGCTAATTCAAGTTAACTGCCATTCATTTCAGGGACAAGCTGTGTGTATGGAGGACTACGCTGCTCCTGGGTTTTGACTCATTCAGTCAAAACTGACAGTTTTTATCCTTAGTTGCCCTGGCTGTAAACAGATGTCTCATTTGTCCTGGGACTAATGGTCCTGAGTTTTGGCTTGGATCAAAACAGTTGTTTACACATGTAGTCCTTTAAAGCTACCTTGCTGTTCTTCTGCCAGTAGACAGCCATGGAGACACACACCCTGAAAGGGTTGCCCCTGGAATAAATGGCAATTAAGTTAAATAAACCACAGTTAGTTTACAGATGCACACAGCACTTTCATGGGAAGAAGCGGGGAAGTACACATCTTATTGCACATACTTCACAGTTACTTGGAGCAGGACAATGGGTATGAACATCTGTAGGATCCAAGGACAAAAGATTTTATCCTGGGAGAAATGCAATGTCTGTTTATAATCAAAGGGTAAAAGCAGTCCTTGGAGTTTATCCTGGGTCTGACCATCCCAGACTTTGACTTGTATTGAAATAGGCACAGTCATTCACACAGGCAACTTGGAATTAACCCCAACTATCTTGGGAAAAAAGTGTTATCTTGGATACTTCACAGGTATTTAAAGGGAAACAGTGGCCTCTATATCTGTAGGGTCCCAGAAAAAAAAGTATTTGTCCCAGGAGAAGTCTAACCTTTGCTTTTAATCAAACTGACTAGGTTCTGTTGATTCAAATGTGCTAGCAGAGTCCAGGCTTGTAACAATGTAGGGAGCCTTGATGAAGTGCAAAGAGAGGAACAGAAGTTGAACAGAGACTCTGAGTACCAAGAAGAAAACCAGACTTAATGTTGTGTGAAAAGCTGAGAGCAGGCTGTTCCCCTACAAATTAATAAGCATGCTTCCATCATCTTAAGCAATACCTTTAATATTGAAATCAATGGGATTGTGCAGATACGTAGTACCTTTTGCATGATGTGGATAGCTTTCTGCTTCACCTGCAGCCATCTTAAGTGGCTTGTGCTGATTTGATGGAAGTTATGATATCATAGAACAGCATCTCACCCAAATTCTAGAATTCTGACAAAGCAATAAGGAACTTTTCTGCATGTTGTACATATCCTGAGCCTTAGCTCAGGAATAGCATGGAAAAAAAGATAAGAGGACAAAGAGGTACTCCTCAGTCGCCCCAGTTAATGTTGTTTCATTATTATGTTGCTGATCTATTAGAGAACATACTTGTTTAAAGTTGTGCAATATTTGGTTATAACGTTGTTTGGTCGCTGCCTGCTAGTAGGTAACTACTGTGATGTAATTGGATTCACTTAACATTGTTTTGCTTGAAGTCACATTTTTCAAGAACGTAACTATGGCGTTAAGCAAGGAGTAGCTGTACTAAGGCATGTGGTCTGTCCTTCCATCTTTACAAAATAATTAAAGGGCAGAATAGAGTCAGAAAAAGAACTAACCATTATTATTACACAAAGGAATTGCTTGACCTCAGCTGTGCTGCTAAGCAGATGGATTTGGACACATTAAGAAAAGAGGTAGATGACTAGAAAATTATTTACTATGACTCCTATGATACAGTGAAGCACAGACACATATGCTTCACTTTGGGCATGTGAAGTCAATGGGACTTTAGTATATATTTAAAGTTTAGGGCATACTTAAATTTTTGCAGCAGGTGGTCCATTCTAAATTAACTTAGTTTTTAAGACAGAGCTACCTCTGAGGAATACTTAGGAAGGTGAAGAAATACAGTTCCTTTTCTTTTTTGTATTCTTGTGAAAAGGTATTTAACAGAATTAGAATCTAATAGGGCCGTGCCATGAGTGTTTCTGCTGTTTGCCTTGAATCTGGCTTGCAACTGTGTGCCTTAACAACCACATCACACCAGCCCCCAGAAATGATGTGTATGACTGTAACAAAAGAAAAAAGGATATAGAAAGATGTTTAAGAACTAAAACTATTTAACATAATCTATGTAATCACAAGAGGAGTAGCAGTATCTATCATGCTTCAGGTTGCATGAGTTTCCATTTTAAACCTCTGCCAATAACATTTTCAGAGAACAAGGAGAGTAAAATAATTATGTAAAAGAGTTTTGTGTGGTTGGGTGCTAAACAGGTGGAGATAGAAACTTGAAATATGGTATAAAATAGCTGTTATTGAAAAGTTTTTGAATATTCTGTTGAAAACTAGTTTTGATTTGTCCATGTTATGAGTCCATGGAAATCACATTTTGGGCATATGAATTAGAGATTGCAGGCTTTTACCTTGCTTAGGTTGTGAAATGGAGTTTGGGGAGATTACATGTTGGAGCTAACATAGATGAGTGGGGAAACAACATTTCTAAAGTTTATTATAATTATGTATTTACTCAGTTTTAGGGTTGAACTATACAGCCTAACCATACTTTTAACAAAGCTATTACTGGATTATGGGTACATATGCTTATATGTTATATTGGACAATATATTAAGGTAAATCCTATTGTCTTGACTGTTTTTTGAAACCTTTAAAATTCTTCTCAAACTCATGTGACTAAAGAGACCAACAGTATCAAACATTGATTATGAATGGAAAAAGTACTGACCTTCTCTGATTAGATTAATAAATCAGCTTTTCATGTTTTAGCTAAATGATTAAATCAGAAGGCTTTACATTAATTAATTAGATCCATATCTCTATTGAATTCTAGAAAAAGACTCACTTGATGATACAAAAAAGGCCTTTTTGGTGGTACTGATTACTTTGTACAGTTTGAAAATAGGTTTGGAATAGACTGCTGCCAGAGATGGTTCAAGCACCCCCTTTGAATGTCTTCAAGACACATTTGGATGTTTATCTTGCTGGGATCCTATGATTCCTGCTGACTTCCTGCCCCTGGGGTGGGGGGCTGGACTCGATGATCCTCCGTGGTCCCTTCCAGCCCGAATGTCTATGAGATCTATGAAAATCTATAGAGCTCCATGATACGTAGAGCTCCATGATAAGGAAAGGACATATTGACTAAGAAGCTGCTGACATCATGAAGTCTATAATGACAGTAAATTCCTGAGTTTGAGAAGGCATAGCTGATCTTTACACAGACTGGAGTGGAA